ATAATTGTTTAAAAAAATACATTGTAAATAATTACATACTTTTCCTTAAAAATAATTATTTTTTTTTTACTAATTGATTTGTCTCATATATATATATATATATATGTCATATATATTTAATTATCAGATTTTTATGTCACATGTTTTGCCATTTATGTGAGATATGTGAATGTGATTATAAAAATAGATTCATAGATGTTATAAAGGTATCGATATATTGACAATTGTAAGAGGAAAATGTGTAATCTTTACCTAATATTGGCGCCAACCATCATGTGCAAAATAGCAAGTAGTTCATCTTTTGAGATCAAATCATCATTATCCAAGTCATACATTTTAAATGCAACTGAAAAAAAGGTGTGAGATTCACTATATAAATACTTGAATATACAAAAGCAATACATGGAGAAGACTGTTACATTTCAATTGGATTAACGATTAGAAAATATTGAATTGTGTTCAAAAAGTTTTCCTAGTGTTTATATTTTATTTCATAAGATTGGAAAACATTTTGAACAATCATGTTACTTCTTTATGCTCAATATTTACATCTCAACTTCTGCTGTCTAGAGTTCAATCGATTAGGACTGTTCTTCTTGATTGGCCTGAAACGAGCCAGGACCTGCATGAACTGCAAGAAATTCACTCTGTCGTTCCCGCTCTCTTCGAAAAAAGCGTTCACTATTCTCTCACCGAGCGGATTTATCGCCAATTCTGGGATTCTGAGAAAATCCTCTCGACTGAGCGTTCCGCAATCACCGCGATCCAGGCTCGTGAAACGGCTGTACAACCGTTCGATTTGATTCGGTGTAACTGTAATAGCATACAAGTGATACAAGTTATACCTCGTCTCTCATTAAATATCGTTTAGTTTATAAAGATCGCATCTCGTTTTGCCACAAAAATAAAAAAATATGTAGAGATTAAAGAGATACTTGCAGCCGGTGGCATTCTGTATTTGCGCTATTTCATCCTCACGCAGAAGAAGACTCGATCTATTGCCCATTTTTTTCAGCAACGATTGAAATACGAAAAGATTTGGATTTATCGTATGAAACGCTCGAGCACTATATTATTTACATGCGTCGTTCGCAAAACACGAAAAGATATAGGTGTGTCGACTGTCGAGCGTACGTAGCCAAATCATATGACTGTCTATTAAAGAGAATGACAGATGAGACTAATGATGACAGATGACAGACTCTGAACAATTCAAGCACTTGAACTTTTGACTGCAACAGTTCAAAGGTTTTAAAGCATCGGAAGAAACTTGGCAATTCATCGAATGAGATATTCTGCGTTTAACAAAACGAAACTATTACGAATGATAAGATAGAATCATTATCGACGATTCACACTGCATCTAAAGTCTATATCAGATTTCAGACTATGCATTGAAGAGAGAGAGAGAGAGACTGAAAATTAAAAGATTGAAAATTAAAGATTGGAATTTGACTAATTAAAACAAAAGCTAAAATCTTTTTTGTCCTGATTAGTCAAATTTCAATATTCAATCATCTTCAATGCGTAGACGGGCTTTAGGATTCTGGGGATTTTCTATTCGACAGCCAATCGGCACGCCCGATAAAGGTCCGCGATTCTTTCATGGGTCTTCTTTCTACGTTTGACTCTTTTTGACTTGTGATCCATGCTCAAAAACTAATGTACACTTCGGCAAGATGGTTCCGTCATAAATCGACAAACGATTTTGTACGCAAACAAACAGTGATCGAGATTTCAATAATATAGTGCGTGATTCTACGTATTTGTCTTACATTAATTCAATTAAGACACAATCAAGACGTCAGTTTTAATTCGGACACAATCCAATGTTTAATGATATAGTGTCAAAGGGTTGTTCCAAAGCACGATTATAGGATTTTCTTTCTGAAAGAGAATGCCCTTCGCTAATTTTTTCCTGAAACTTATAGTATTTACTGAGTTTATTGTGTTCTAAGTTATCAGGATTTAGAGAGTTTTAAAATTAGACTCTCTCTTACAGTGACTGATTGATATATTGTCAAAAAGTAAGCAAGACGTTATTTTATGAAATAAAATATTTTGGTAGAGATAATATATACATAATAATTATATTAAATCTGAAATCATATATTTTTACACCATATATATCATAAAATTTACATATATATGAAGTTGAATTAATATGCACCTTGTATATATTAAGAGCAGATAAAAATATCGATTTTAATATAGTTATAAATGCTAAAACTTCTCGATCT